CGCACCGAAATCCGCGTACCCCGCCTCTAGGCGACAGGCGGCGTCCAGCTGAGAGTCATCGGCGTCGGCTCGGTAGCCGTGTTTTTCATCGGCCGTGTCGGAGCCTATTCAAGTGTTGGTAGTTTTTCGCGCGGCCGGCGACAAATATCCCCACCAAAATCCCCTTTGGATGAGTCCCCACGTGGCCCGGGATGTCACGACGGGTCCTCGCTGGCATTCACCGTGCTGATCCCGTCCCGGTGACTAGCCGGAGTAACGCGTGCATTCGCAGACCGATCTCTCGGAGAATCCACGATTTCGCGCGTCGATCGAGTCGCGAGTGACGAGCGATTTCGCGCGGCGGTGCGGCCAAGTGCGGAGTGATTGAATTTTCCAATTTTCCGCGGTTTGCAGCCGGCGTCGATACGCTCGGTGGGCCTGTGTGACATCGTTCAAATTCGGCGTGCGTCCGTCGATCGACAGGGGGGTGCGGGAATTCGTCGTCGGCGCGAGACTCGACACTTGGACAGCGCGCGGACGATCCCTCGGTCGGTTTAGCGGGGGAATCGCTCTGCTCTCCTCGACCGCGGGGATTCGCCTGTTACGTCAGCGTTACGATTAATATCGGCGATATCGGCGTAATCCAGGTTAAACCGAGAGTCTCTCTCTCTCTTTCACACCGGTGTCGCCTCGATGACGCGAATTCGCCGGCTGTACGTGACGCTGGAAACGGTATATAGGTCCGGCTCGGCGGCCGATTCTTCCGCAGAGTTCGATCCGGACGGTCGACGCGGATAAAGAAGTCGGCACGTTCCTCGTCGTCGGAGAGCGAGGGTGACGTAACCGCGGCTCGCTCTCGAAACTGGACTGTTCGATCGATCGATCGTAGGAGTTGCAATTCGGGGGAGAGGAGGTGTCGTCGATCCCCGTCATCGGGGACGCGTTCCGTCGCGCAACCCGCATATATCCATCCGTCACGGATCGTACGGCCGGATCGTCGTCTACGAGCGTCGAAACCGCTCGGGGACTCGCGACGAAACGAAGTGCTCGAATCGTTACCGCTGCTGACTGGCCGTAATTCGTGCGATTTACAATGCACGGACTGAGATGACACGCCGAGGCGGGGGGACACGCAGCTATGTCTACGGCTATGATCGTTGAGTGAGTTACGGCGATTTCGTCGCCACGTTGATATTTCTCAGCGCCGCCCTACAGGACGCGCTCTCTTCGAATTCCAATCGGCGGGTCGATAACGGAGAGGACGCCTCCTCGGCCGGCGTCGTTCGCCTTTTATCGCCGTCATCGTAATCTCATCCATCCGTTGCGGCGTCGTCCCCGAGAAATCGCGCGCTACGTGGAGATAAAACTTGGGGAAATTCTGGAATCTCCGAGGCGGAGGCCTTTTTCCCGAAAAAGCTCCCGCGCTAAATCATTTAGCTCTCGTCGTCTATATTTCTCGGGAGGAAAACGCACGTCGACGAAGAGATATCGGCGCTGTCACGGTGTTTTTTAACCTTTTCAGTAGATTCAGTTGTTAACGGAGGTATCGTTGCGAGACGGTAATGAGCATTAACTAGACGCTGCGTCACGAGAAATACGCGAGCATGACGCGCGCGTGACGCGCGCGCTCTCTCTCTCTCTCTCGCTCTCGCGTGTCTCGGAATTTGTCACGGCATACCGGGATTTCGCGACTCCGCGGAATTTCGTGACGCTACCGCCACGTGCATCCGCGCGACGGCACGCAGCATCCAACGCCTCGTGGTTCCGTGCGATCAGAGGCCTCCGCCAACAGGTGATATCCTCCGGTTTATCAGCCGGTCTGTTAGGGGAAACCTCTCGGAAAACAGCTTGTTGAATCGATAAAATTAGCGGTCACTCTGGTGCAAAAAGATTCGATTTAGAGTTTGATTGGAACAATCCGTTCGCGGATTGAGAGAAGCTTGAGAGAATATTCATGAGTTTGGGGCACAAGCGGTGAAGCGATGGTCGCGAAAGAACGAAGAACGTGTGTCGCGCAATCGTCGCGCGATCGACGTCGCGGGCGCGATCTATGCTGGAAATCTTTATCCTCGGCGACCTTTCCGTCCTCGGTGACACGTCTCATCCATCCGTTCATGGAGAGGCCTCGCTCCTCGGAACATCTCGCCTCCTCCTTGCGCAAGATGTCCCGGGAGATCCGAATGTTAATGTATCCCGCGGCTCTCGTCGGCGATACCTGCGTTCGCGGCGCGTGTATTATCGCGTCCCGAGGTGATCCACGGCCGTTAATGAAACGGCCGGCGAGCGGTTGTCAGCGGGATGTCGCGCGCTGTGTGACTAAGTTTGCAATTATGTAAACCCGGCATCCCGGCGAGCGGGATACTCGCACACCTTGGTTCAGATGGCGGGATGGGGTATCCGCCGATGTGAAAATTGAAAAATCGGTATTGACGCAGCTGACGTAAATTAGATACTTTGGAATGTAGCACGACACACGTTCCGCGAACGGTTCTCGCGGCGTAAAAGGAAACAGGTGGCGGCGCAGCGATCCATTTCCCTTTTACATTTCTCTCGTTTTACACTCGCAACGCCCCCTCGTTGACCACCCTTTATTTTGTTGCTATCCATTCATTAATCCTTTCACTGCGTACGATATTATATATTATATCGTGGCAAATCGCTCGTCATTCGCAGACTCCACATACGCGCGGCACCTCATTTGAATCTTTCGGTTGGAATTTTCTTTATTATGTTATTCCGCTTCTCCAGCGTTGTACACAATAATCGAATACCGCGCCGCACAGCGAGCGCTTTTGGCCAGAGCGCGGCGAAAGGGTTAAGAGCAAGCTGAGGATGGTTTCTCGGGAACAAAACAGCGCGATCGTGATTCCACTCGAAAGAAACGGATGGTAATTCGCAGCACGACTATACTCGCGAGCGAACTCGCCTTCGGAGGCGAAAAATGCCGCCGGCTTGGAATCTCTCACCTTTCAGAGACATTTTCAGAGACTTCTTCTCTCTTTCTTCCCTTCCCCTTTTCGTTTTTCTCTCATACTTGCGCGCGCGCGCGCAAAAGTCCGTCGCGTCGATTTAATAAAGCATAAATCGTTTCCTCGCCACATCCGGCAAGCGAATGTCGAACGTTACGAATCCAGTCGCGTATTTGCATCGAGTCGCCGCGCCGCGTTGCCGCAGTCGCGCCGGTGCAATTAAACCTCGAAACCCGAGTCGGCTCGCCCCGCTCCCCGGGCCCCTGCGTTACGACCTGATGTATATCGCGCGGAGAGCGCGATGATGAATGCACGCCGGCGGAGTCCTCTGGCGAAATCGCGGACTCTCCTCGCGGCCGCGGAGATTTTCCACGCCGAACGCGATCATTCCCACGCGGCGGCTCGGGACACGCCGTGTCCGGGGGAGATTAACTGCAATTACCTCGGCTGTCTAATCGCGATTAAAGCTGGCTCATCGCCGGGAAACCCCGGGAAAGCCGGAACGCCGATACGAAGAGCCGGTGTTTCGCAAAAGAGGCGCCTCTCGTTGAAACCCGGCGGAGCTTCTCCTCCACGACGACCCCTTCGTCGCGGGGAGCGGACACGATAAAAAGAAAAGGGTGGAAGCTGTCCATGTAACGCAAGCTGAAATCTAATCACCTGGATTAATTAGATTGAGTCGCTTGAATTTAGTTTTAGCCGTGGGAGCTGAAAATTAAGTACGGGGACAAAAGGAATTAGCTAGATTAACTTGCCTTAATCTGAATCTCGCATTATACGGACAGTTAATTCTTACCTGCGGGAGCTAGTTTTTAGCTGTGACGTTCTTCCTTTTGTCCGTGAACGAATTTCGCGAGAGGATCCCCGGCGGAGGGGGAGGCCCGGCGACGACATTCCGCACGGTGCATCGAATACATTGCGACGAGGTAGGCGGGATGAGGCGAAAGAAAGGCACGTTTGGTCCAACCTCCGCGGTACCACGAGCGAGCCAATAACCCGGTCGGGATTAAAGCGAACGGGCGAACGAAAGTTCCCGCTCGCCGCGCGACTCGTTGTTCACCTGTGTTCTGTGTAACGTGAGACGCGCTCGCATTGCGCAACTACTTGCGGCGGCTCCTGTGGAACCGGGTTATTATTTACAATCCGCGCGGGGCACGCCGCAGCACCACTCTTGATTTCTACGATTCTCCGATGTCCCTTTTCCCACACGCGTTCACGTTATCGACGATTTTCCGCGGGATAAGTGTCCCTCCTTGCGGTTGGAAGGTGCGGCACACCGGATCGATAGAGCGATCGCCCGATAGAGTATCACATCTCATCATTCTGAAGTGTTGGGGACGTTCGTCTCGGCACGATTGCTTCAAGCGCAATATACAGACCGACATTGATCTCTTGACACTTATTAGTTAGTACTGGATACATATATACAGACGCGATCTGCGTGTGTGATTGGGAATTTCTAGTGAGCTTATATCTAGTAAATGTCGAGTGATTGGGAATTTCTAGTGAGCTTATATCTAGTAAATGTCGAGAGATCAACGGTGAATGCACATCCGTGGATCGATATGTTCGTGCAGATTTGCAACGATTGGCATGAAATACTTGTGAGGTACGGGAGGGTCAACATGCACGGAGGTATTTTTGACGTTCTGTCATCTGAGAAGAGGTGCGGGCTGAGCGCGCGCACGAGCGTCGGAGCAGCGAGAATCGGAATCGTGAATTAGATACCGCGGTGGAAGCCTATCTGCAGTGATATCTTTTCGATACTAATTATCCCGCGTTTTCGCTTATCGGCCGCCGTACTGATCCGGTACATCCTGCGCTTTCAATTTGCGCGGCTGGTAATAGCAATGGCCGTCCCTACGCCGACCCACCGTGTAATCACGGGATATTTATTCGCATACGATAAATCACTTGGAAATGCCGCGGCGGTCCGCGCGGATCCCCGCAAATTGAAACGTATCCGGCTAAAACGGATTTATCGTGCGTTCCCGTTCGCATTTTGCCCCGCGCATTTCTAAACTAACGAGTGTATTCCTTTTCTGCTTCCAGGTTACCACAGCTTGTCGTTTTAGCGAAGATTTTGTGCATCCTGATGGTGAGTAATTCGGTATAATTGTTGTACAGCAGCGAACATTGTCGTCTACCTATTAGAGTCTCGGAAATGAGCGAATTTCTAAATTACGAGTATACACTGAGAAACGCATTTAGTTGACTCGAGCTAAATTCTCGTCTGGATATGAGCAAACAGATGTTTTGATTATGAGAACCAAGATTTGCTTCTCTGTAACGAAAAAGGTTCGATTCAAACAACAGTCAACGGAATGGGTTTCTCAGTGCGGACGCGTTCGTTGTGATCCCGTTCATTCGTTTATATTTATTTGCAACAGTCAACAAATGAAAAGAAACGGGGGTGACTGCGAGTTAGCGGCGAGTTCAGCTAGTCGGCGCGCGAAACTCGTTTTTTTTTCCACTCATGAATATTTCATAACGAGAGAGCGTCGAATTCGTCAAACGTCGGATCAGCGGGAGATCGATGTACGCACGTTTATCGCGCTATAATTACGCCGCGTAATCTTATCTTCGAGCATGCGTCCCGACATTAGTGGCACGAACCAATTGCATAAAGGATAATCTGATGATCTGCCGGCCCAGTTTCGCGACCGGTAACAAGCGGTGGCATAAAGTTTCGTACTCGAAACTCCGGCCGCAGTTCCGCCGAACTCGCCGTCGCGGGATCGCCTACTTTGTAGCCCGCGGATACACGCGAAGATATACGGCGGGCCGCGATCGCGAGGGTGACTAGGTCAGATCTGAGATATCCCCGCAGCACGAAGAGGTCGAGAGAGAGAGAGAGAGGGAGGGAGAGACTCGGGTGAAGATCGCGTGCTGAGACTCGTGCCAAGAGTCAAATCGCCGATTACGTCGGCACGCACCTCACCTGCCCATAGATTAATGATCGCCGCACTTCCACTCCCACGCGTTCACGACGCTGACAATTTACACCGTCGAGTCAGACTCGGGGCCCCATTCTGGACCGGTAGCGAACCAGCTACCGTAAGGTAAAAGTACCGATGCTCGGACACGTGCCTAACTGTGTAGACACTCTTGTTTCGGTCCTTAAATACGAATATTTAATCTTTGAACGTTTGACAATATTTGTGTATATTCAATCACGCGCATGTATTCTGTGCTGACGGTTTGAATATTCGTATTTAAGATCGAGACAATGAAAATGCCCAGAGTAAGGTAAATGTAGGACCATTAGTATTTTATATGCCTTATATTCTTTTTCAATTTTAAGCGCTAGTTTTTCCCGTACGAGCGTCACGTAACGTTGTTTCAGCTTGAAAATCAGAAAGGCGATTCGATTCGTGTTCAGAATGGGGTCCCGGATCGTTGGAATATCATCTCCCAGATCTTGCGCTTTCCGCGAGCCGAGGTCTTTCAGACACGGAACGTTCGCAAATACCTCGTCCTACGTCACATAAATGCCAAAGTAAAGGGTTCGTTCATCGCGACGTACGCTCAATTCGTCGCCCTGATGCACCGTGAAGCGCCACGAATCTCGAACTCTGCTCTGGGAACTCTCGAGCTCGCTTCACGACGGTGCTCGTCCCGTTAGTCCGCGCGCTTCGATTAACCGCGCGCGACGAGTCACTTATCTCTTTTTCTTCAACTCCCTCGTGCTCGAATTATACGGTAGTTCGACCGGCGGAGGACAGAATCTCGTTGAATTTTGCACGCCCGGTTTTCCCAATCGGTCAGGCCGCGAAATAAAAATTCTTTTCCTTGCTGACGCGCGCCGATTTTCGAGCTCGCGCCGTGCAGGCCGCTCTCCTCGCAAGTCGATCTCGATATCGTAAAGATCGGGCCGCTATTAGGCGTCGATTATTTATCGCGCCTTTAAATTCGGTGGAGATCTATGGCTCCCGGCAGGACGATAAGGACAATTCGCGCGCGACAGACTCGTCCGGGGATCGTATTTAAATGAGATTTATGTATGCTCGATACCGGTCGTGAGCGATGCAATAAACGGTCCGCCCGGCCGATAAATAATGAAATGGGTGGTCGGCTGAGTCGGAGGAGAGCAACCGCTCGCGGTAGATCATGACGAGAGCGCGTTCGGGGGACTGTCGCCTTGACGATACGGCTGTTAGGTGAGAATTTAATGAATGGCCGATACATAAAACTGCAAAGCTATTCGCGTCTTTACGGTCCGGGAGTCTTGTCGATTAAATGATAATGCGAAATCGCGCTGATGACGCGCGAATCAATTAGCGAGTCGAGAGAGACTTTTTTATCCGGGACGCGCGAATGCGACGCGGCTAAACACCGAATCTGTCGCGTGCTGGCACTCGTAGTCGGCACTCGTAAAAACTTTCGGCGCGATCGCTACTTAACTTTGTAAGTTAAACGATAGAGAGAAGCGGCGCGCGTTACCACCCGCTCGTCGCCTCGCGGCCTGTTCACATATATACACACACACACGATTGACAACATCTCGGAGCATTCTAAGAGGCGGGTGTTACAGGATCGTGGAGCTCGCAATAAAGTTCCGCGATGCGAATTTAATTGCTCTCTGTAAACGATAAACGGGCAGCCCGCCCGTTCGCGCGTATGCCCGTCGCTCTCTGCGCGCTTATTGCGCGACGACATCGGCCACTTCCTCGCGATAAATTCCGACACGGCCTCGTCTCGAAGAGGTAGCGCTGATTTAAGAAGAAGAAGAAAGGGGGAGGGAAGAGAGAAGAGAAAGAAACAAGAAGTACGATCGATATCGATAAAAGCGATCGCGCGTGGCAAGATTTCCGCCCGTCTGACTCGCTCGTTGTTTGTCGGAAGAGACGCGCCCGCCACCGCGTAACATTGTCGGCGCCACATTTCATATAAACGGAACGCCAGTTTCGGCGACTATTAATGGATGGCTCGTGTTCGCTCGTTAACGAGGTTTCTGCCATCAGCGCGCACCATCTCCGGAGCGGCGCTGGACGGGACTCTCCGTCTTCCTCCGACACGGAGAGCGTTACTTCTTTTCCCCCCCGCTCTTCCCTTTTCTCCCTTCTTTTTTTCCCTTCTTCTTCTTTTTCATTCGTTATCCGAATCAGCCGCGGCGGGCGGATCAACGAATGACTCGATGTCGCGTGATATGTGAACCGATCGTAAAAGCGATCCCCACGTCGCCGGTCGTGGAAGAATTTTCGACGTTTCTTAACGACTCTCATCCCGGTCGTCGCTCCGAAAACAAGGCACGCGAATTCTTATCTCATCACCGTTCTGTTCCCTCTATTAATCCGGAAATCAGCATAATTCGTGCGCGGTGCAATATAAAGCGCAGCTTTAACTTACGGCCGAATTACTCGGCGCCACTCGTCGCCTCGTGATTTCTTGTTTTTTTTCGCCTTTATCACCTGCCATACTTACCGCTTTTTCTTTCTCTCTCCCTTCCTCCTTTAATCGCACGATCGGTGCTCGCATATGTATGCATGCATTTCGCGGCGTTTGAATAATTCATCGAATATCGGAAATGCAGACATCTTTCCTACCCCTTCTGACCGAATAATAAAATAATACCGTGCGAATCGTAAAACGAGCGCGTCCGAGCAGAGCGCGGTTCTGCTCCTCGGCGGGTCGCAAAGAGCATCGCTGATTCAATTCCGATCTTACGTGCGATCCGAGACGATGTCTGAAATATTCGCTAACGCGAACGACTACTCGCGGGCGTTTCGTGAAAACGACCAGCTGGTCGAGCGTTCACGCCGAAACGCCGAGGAAAATTTCGACCGAATCCCTCGACAATTCTGATACAAACGAGCGACCTTTGTGATTGCAGGTGGTGATGTGCGGGGCGGCGCCGACGATGGTGCGCTCCGTGAGTCTCCACGCGGTTTGCAGCGGCCGCAATGTTACCGTAATAGGCCGCACAGTCACAGCCGAGCAGCGCAACGATAGCAATGCAGCCTACCGTAAGTAAGACCACAGTCATCCGTTGTACCCGTCGGTGTAATTTAGTCGCGACGTAATGCAAAGTTTTTCGCTCGACGAAATAGTAATTAACTCGGTACTCTGATGGGGAAAAAGTACTACGTTCGAGTAAATATTTGCCACACTGAAAGAAAAATATCGTTGTTTTCGAGGACAACAATATCCTTTTTGTCGTTTTAATCACAAAATTAGTCGAGAGAACTATTTTTCTAGTAAACGTTACTACAGTGTTAACGACAATAACCTCTTACCTGCATGTTGCTACTACTATTTTTGTGTGGTTAAAATAATAAAGAAAGGATATTGTTGTTCCCGAAAATAACTATATTTTTTCTCTCAGTGTAAGAAGTAGGTGTGGCACTACTCGAAGTACCTTTATATTCGCGCTGTATCTTTATTGCTGTTTATCGTCTTACAGCTCTTACAACGAAAAGAAACATCCTTACAGCGTCCCATTAAAAGCAAAAATCTCCTCTCCGCGAAAGAGGAGGAGTTTCTTTCAGAATGGCCCTGTGAAACTCGCGAATACCCGGCTCGGGATGATCCGCGCGATTTGCTGTATCGTTAATTACTTATTTATTAAAACTGCCGCGTGTGTTGGGGAAATATGGCCCTCGATGCTGATTAATATACACATAGCGCGCGCGCAGGAGATTCCGTTACGCGTGCGGGCACGCGATAATATCGACCGTACGGGATGAGTTAATCAAATCTGTTAATTGAATCGATCCCAATCACCGTTCCAGCCGTGCCGTTATCCCATCGATCGATAGTTCGGTACGTAAAAAAGGGATTTTGTGCCTGGAAATATCCGGGCGCGATGCCGCTATAAAGAACTTAATTTACCGCGATCCTTATCATCCAAACCCGCGTTCGGGAGGCCTTATCTTTCTCTCCTTCCCTCTCTCTCTCTCTCTCTTTCTCTCGCTCGCTCGCTTTTGCTACCGAATGCCTTCACGGGGCCTTCCAGGGTGAAATCTCCATTTTTACGAACTAATAACCGCAGTTCTATTTCCGCGAGCAGAGCCTCGGACGCGCGGACGGNGGGGGGGGGGGGGAGGCGACTATCGAGGAGCTCCGATGAATTACGCGATGTAATTCTGCCTCGTCTCGATTGTTTCCGGCTAGACACTGTTTGTCTCACGTCGTTTGCTCTATCGTTTGCATCGTGGACTCGCCTCCTCTCCCGTTCTTATTTATCGCGATCGTCGTCGCGGATTGCGAAGTGCCCGTCGTCGTTCCCCTTCCGAGAGCCGAAGATAGATATTCGATGTGAAACGCGCGTATTGGAACGCGTCTAGATACATATCGCTCGTCCGCTTTTCCACCTGCCTGTCTTACCGCCTTGGCACACATCCGTCCTGACAATGACACTTGTTCATAGAAGAAACGGCTCGTCACGATCACGAAGGCGCGTTTACCGCTCGCGTTCGCCGGGCGCTTCTTTGCGCCGGGTGTGATTCAAAGTTACATCTCAGTAGATGAAGCGTCATTCGTTCCGCGGCGTGAATTCGCCACCGGCGAGAAACGCGCCGTCCCGCGATCATCTCGCGATTTCGCGCCGCGGGAATTCGCGCGCGATATCCCGTACGAAACGAGCGAACGGGCTGTCCGCCCTACGCGCGGCGCGAGTACGAGGCGGTTCCTCTCGAGACGATTGCCGGCGAGGGAGGGGACGAAAGGAAGGTTCGGGAGGAGGGAAGCAGGCCTCGCTTGTGCAAACAGAGGAGCCAGTTTTCGCGCCGCGTCTGCACCTCCCCGAGATCCATCACCTTCGCGTACCTCCTCCCGCCCCTCCCGTCCCCTTTTTACCTCCACCTTTTCCCTCTGTTACTCTGCTCTCTCGCCTCTCACGGCGCTCAACTGCCGACAACGAGCCTCTCCCGACCGGCGATTACTCAAGCGCCCCTCTCGCGGAGACGCCGGCGTGCGCACGGGGGGATTGAGACACTGTGAGAGCGTCCTTGAGGAACCGTGCGAGAGGAAAGTGCCAACGGCGGGTCCGCGGGAGTCCGCGGATCCTCCCGGGGGGAGCTTCTTCGCTGTCGCGCGTCGCTTCCTTCGAACGAACCGTACATTGTCTCCCGCGGCAATTCGCCGACGAAACCGTGTAATGTGTCGTTTCGTCGATATCGAACGGCCGCGAGGCGAGACGCGGAGGGGATTGATCGCGCGTAACAACCGCGCATTTTGCCTTCTTCTTATTTCCCACGCCCGTGACGTATCCATCAATTGAATCGTCGCGTTAGAGAGCGTATTACCTGCGGCCTCACGGCGACATCAGGGGGCACGCGAGGGAAAAACGGCGCGAAAGGGAACGCAGTCGGGGAATGATAAGTCATAATTCAAGTGCGTCAGGAGTAACACGATAATAACTATCATCCGCAATCAAGGTAAATAATAATTATCGACTTTTCGTTCGCCCCTCCGCGCGCGAGCGCGACGAGCAAACAGATACGCGCGATCGGCGTGACACGCGATAGTTATAATTAACGTGACGCGACATTTTTACCGCGTTTAAGTAACCCCATCGGACACTTTACGAAGCGTCTCATTCGAAACGTTTGACGTTCCGAAATCGGGTGTCCTTCGGTGACTGACAAGCGCGCGAATTTCGAAAGGACCTCGCGGAAGAGAGAAACTTATATCGAGCGAGAAACCGGGAGAGGAAGAGAGGAGAAATGAGAGGGAGAGAGAGAGAGAGAGAAAGAGCGGGGGACAAGGATGGAATCGTGCGTGCCGGCAGCACACCGATCGGCCGGACTGGAATTTAATTATTCGAGTCGCGGCGGGCTGTGATTACCGCGTCAGCCCGCTAAACCAGGCTTCACCTGTCGCACCTTTGATCCATCCCGTGATACCCCGAATGCGTTGCGTTCCCGTCCGTCCCGCTGCCGCTCTTCGTCTACTGTGCATCGTCGTGGAGAGCGCGATCCTCGCATCGGCCGATCGTGCGTTTAGGTGTTAATGACAGGGTCGCTATTATACGCGCGCGCTTCATAACGAGAGAGAGAAAGCCGCGTCTGTAACGCCGCTTCTCTCCCTCTGTGTTCGCTCGTGTCTTTCCCTTTTGACTTTTTCTCGCGCTTTACACGGGGGTCGGTACCGACCATCTCTCCCTCGCGCGTTGTATTATAGCTTTCATAACGCCGACGCCGCGAAATTGTAGCGTCCCAGTGGTTCTCGGCCCGACGCGTCGTCTCGCCTTCGCATCAAGGTCGGTGTTATTCCAGCGAGCCACGGCTGCATCGGTGCTCTCTACGCGCGACATCCTCTTCTGCGGTTGTTTCCCTCTTCTCGGAAAGGCCGACGAAGTTTCACGAAGTTCGTCGAGCTCCTCAGGGCCGTTTCGAGGGACACACAATCGCGAGGTTAAATCGCCCCGACGGTTCGCTTCCGATAGAAAAATACGGGCAGTTGCGAACCCGTAACAAGCGGCGAATTGGTTCCTATATCGCGAGGAGCACGTAGAAGTAATATATGGGATCCATTCTTCTCTCTCTCTCTCTCTCTCCTTCTCTTTCTCTCCTCCTCCCTCTGTCTCCCTCTTTTGCTCTTACGCGCAGACCCATCCTACCAGTTATTATCCGGGGTAATCGTGCCTAAAAGCCGGTGCCCGCTTTTGATTAAAATTGGCTTTTAATTCATTTGGCAGCCTCTAATCTCGCGGCGGCTCCGATCAGAGGGAACCAGAGCGAGGGCGACGTGACGGCGGGGGGGG